TACCTGTATAGCGGTTTCCCGAAAACGTGAGTTCTGCTGGGGATTTCCTGATTTGCTTTAAACGGCTGATATAAGGGTAAAAAACTCGCTATGATTTAATCGCTTTTAGTAGTTTACCAGGGGCTCAATCGAGTTTGACTTCACGAAACCTGAAAAAAAGAAAGGAAGAAAGAAAGACGGACAGACAGACAGAGAGAGAGAGAGAGAGAGAGAGAGAGAGAGAGAGAGAGAGAGAGAGAGAGAGAGAGAAAGAAAGAAAGAAAGAAAGAAAAAGCGGCCTTCATGGAAATCGTAGGTTACTTTGGTTTGTACTCACTCTCGTCTAGAAAATTCACCCAACGTGTATTACTAAAAATCCGTCGAACTTGATGTGGCCAGTGGACTAGGAAAACAGGCGACAGGAAGGTGAAAAGAAAATTACGGAAAGAGAAGAAAAACATTTCAGCTTCAGGCCAATATCTGCACTGTCTATCGATATTTCATATGTTCGCTCTGTGAACCAAACCCAGAACACTACCCTAAAATGTAGACAGACTACAAATAGTGCGAAACCTCGAAGAGCAATTGCGTAAATTCAGAGGGAAGGTGTTCTATTCGTACGATTAGGCCAAATGAAATGTAGAAGCAAATATTAGCGATGATTGTAGTCTATCTGGAGAACGATTTTTAAAGTAGTTCAAAAACGGAGCACGCGGAAAAACCAGTGGTAATAGTTTGAGGAATACGTGGGAGGAGAGGGGGCAGGCATGCATAGAACGTGTTCTGTGACTGTAAGGGGATGGGGACGGGACAATAATAAGGAGCTTAAGCAAGCCACGACGACGACGGCAACGAGAACGTCACCAAACAAAAGGTTGAATGAACAAAACAATAGCTGTGCACGTGCGTTATAAATCTTTGTACATTTCTTTGCCGTCCTCTGGACTACTGCAAAACAACAACGTGAAATGACTAAGTTCTGCGTAGTCTGGGAAAAGCGAAATACGACGGATAATTTTTGGTATTTTTGGAACTGAACGCTGTCATTGCATATCTAGCCTGAGCACATTTTAAGACCCATTGGCGCACGGAACAGATCCATATCCAGAAAATTGTGAATTTCGCTGGTAAAATTTAAATTCATTTTATACTAGGCGTCGCCCTCGACGTCGCCGTGGTCGTTGGCTAAGCTCCCTAATTTCACTTGTAACCTCTGGACATCGCGCTGCTTTCGTTTCGCGCGCTTTTTCTCGCCCTCGAACAAACTTGTACTTGTACGCGCGCCTCGTGTCAGTAGGTTTGTCACGGATTCCAGTTCAAATATTGGAAATTTCTTCCTGCAACCCATTGATCGGATTCCTTTTCTTTAGTTAGTAAGGTTTGAAGAGAAGCCGAGGGAACGTTTATCAGTAGATACCTGGTGACTGCTTCAATGCGTTGGTTAAGCAACTCATTATTTCTGTTTGGGTCGTTACGCAGTCATTCCTTCTGTTGACACGAATTTTAGGATATCTATTTGATATTTGTTCAAGTGGCATTGTTTTCATTTGATATTTACTCAAGCGACATTTATTCATATTTGATTAACTCAGTGAGTATTCCATTCTTCCAGGAATTTCCCCTGCTATCGATAGAATTGATTATGACGGGAAATATTCCCTGATATTCTTTCAGTACTTCGGTTTGCTTGTAGGAGAGGATTTTCCTATTTCTTTTATTGTGGGTTCGTTCTTGGGGAATAAAATATATCAATAGTATTTACTGAACCTTGGTAGTGTGTAAACAGTTGTTAGGGGATTGTTTTAGGGACTTATCGTGAAAATCATCAAAGGGTTAATAAACCACCAAGAAAAGAAATATGTTTTTTTAAGAAAAGTTCAGAGCTCCGTTCTATGTTAATTGAACCGACAATCAAAGGTTAAACGAAAAGGAAACATCGGAAAAGATGCTAATAGCTTTGAAGGAATATCGTTTGTGGTTTATTTACTTTTAGATAATTGACAATATTCATTCTGTATACTCTTGTCTAGAATATGAGAGTTTTGTGTGTTCATCGTAGCTGACTGTGTTTCAACAACTTTTCTTTATGTGTTTCCGTCTGTTTTGACTTACAAAAGATTTTACAGCACCAGAACCATGCTAGAACTGTTCATATGAATGTTCTGGAATTTGGATTATTTTAAGTTTAGTTAAACTGTAATGTCTTCAGACGACCTACGCTTAACTGCAATCTTATGGCTAAACTCTGAGAAACGATTTAGTCACCTTTTATGCATAACAAAGATATCTGATTTCGTTAGTTTTAGTAAATTCGGTTTCTCTGCATGTCATAAATATGAGTGCAACTTATGCCGACTTCACTTGTAACTTGTGACAACTTCACTGGTTAAAAACTTGTAACATCTTGAAGCCTTTGGGAAGACTTAGAAAATCTCTGTAAGCCTGACGAGGATATCCAATAAAGTCTACGCTGTTGTGAAACAAAATCTACTCCGTGACACTTCCAACAGATATTCCCGGGAATGGATTCAATGGCGACCCAAAAAGGGGCTATAAAGTGATGATCCTGGGAAGTAGTCTTAACCTTTTTGTGCAGGTATTAAAAGAACAGATCTTTTCAAATTGCTTTCAGGTTCTTGATGAGAACGACAACAAGCCAGAAATCACCGTGAATTTGCTCCCAAACACGTTCCACAAGCAGGATAAGATTCCCGAGGAAACCATCGTCAATACTCCCTCCCTCAATACGCCCTCCGGTCTCCCAGGGAACATTCCAGCTGCAACGAAAGCGGACAATAATGTGGTGGAAACGGGAAAGGGGAATGGAGGTTACTTTTCGGACACAAAGATGATCATAGGGGTTGGAGCGTGCGCCGGCTTCTTGTTGTTGAGTGTTTGCCTGATAGCAGTTTTCTGCTTGAAGTTCAGGCGTGAAAATAACAAAGAAGAAGACAAACACGGTAGCTATCATGAGCCAGACATAAGTCGGGAAGATGCGCTGAAGGCGTCCAAGAAAATGTTCCACCAAGCGATTTCTAACCCGCGCCAAGAGACCATGATCTAAGAGAACACATCCTCCATACATGGGCCTCTTGCAATGATAATCTTTTTCAATCTAATTTTAGCGCTTGGTCAAACTGCGAGGCTATTTTAGGAAAGAGACCCGACTGGCCAATTTAATCCACCGTGCGAAAAAAGATGGCGGATGTACATTTTACCACAAAGCCTTGCGAACCTAACACAGCATAAAAGGCACAAAGAAAACCAAATTTTTACAATATGTGTTCCTGTACTAAGGACATTAAGTAGCCTAGGTTTGGAGATTGTATAACGTTTCTGTGCGTTTTTATGAACGTTGTTAAGGTTTT